GAACAAGCAGCCAGTCCTTTTAAAATTTTTTTTATGCAGCCTATCCACCCTGAGGGGGTTGGGGTAGTCCTCTACACCCATATCCTCTGCATGCCTTTTTCTTGCCCAGGCTCAAGATGAATTCAAAGTAAGTACCCTGGCTCCCTGCTCAGGCACATAGTCAACCTTTTAAACTTTTTAAATTAACACAATGAGCAGCATCCCAGAAGGGTAAGGGCATGTATTTTTACCCCAAGATGCAGAACTGCTGAGTTACTTAGCCAAACATCTAGACTCCCCAAGTTGACACAGTGTATCAACCATAACAATCTCTTTATCCAAAATGCAGTTAATCCATCTCTAAATGTGGTCAATGTCATAATAGTTCCATTATTCTAGAAAATTCCAAGTCCAAAATCTCTCCCTGAGACTCCAGGCAAACTCTTAGCTGTGATATCCCATAAAAAAAAAAAAAAAAAAGTAGAATGCTTCTGCTATGCAAGAGCACAGCATAAACATTCCTGTTCCAAAAAGGAGGGACAGGTAGGTGGAATGGAGTTGAACCAAAGAAAGACTGAATCTCAGCAGGGCAAACATTAAATCCTTCAGATCAATGTCTAGCAGCATGGTGGGGAGTGCTGAGATGTGAGCTGCACAGTGCTTGGAGGGCCCTGGCCCCATGGCCATTCCAGTTGTAGCCCACGCGGCCTTCCTCTTGGGCTGGCTCCGCTCAGTGCTTGTGGTTTCCTTCAATTAAAAATCCATGTACTTGGAAAATCCAACCCCCTGGGACGTCCGTGGCAACTTTCGCTTCACTCACAGATTTATACAGTGCTGTCTCATGAACTCTTGCCAATGACTATGATCAGGTCATATCTTTGCCTGAAATTTGGGAGGAAGGTTCTGAGACCCCCTATTTCAGAAGACCCTTGATCCTGTAATGGAGTCTTGATTTCTGATACGCCCTCAAGGCATTTTTCTTCTTGGCCCTGTGCAAAGTACTTTGGGTCTTCATAATGTTCATCTTTCAGGAATCATTATCTCCTTGTATTCAACTTTGCAGGTGCTTTCTTCTAGTGAAACAATAGTTTCCAAATCAACCAACTCAGCTATTTCCTCATGATAATCACTGTAGATTTGTTACTGACATTCAGCTATCCATGTGACACAACCTGAACACTGGCTAGCCATGAAATTTCCACTGTGCAGTTAATTAATGTACCACTATTAGTCTCACTCTCCTACATGTTAGGACATGGGGAAAAGGTAGAGAAATTTTCTGCCAGAGCGTAACATGCGGCATCTAGTTATTTAGCCAGTGTAGCCCTTTGTTATATATTATATCTAGATGTCCCCCCAAAGCCTCATGCGCTCATAGGTGGGGCTTTGGGGAGGTGATTGGATCATGGGGTGATACTCATCAGTGGATTAGCCCAACGATGAGTTTACAGTTAAATGTGATAGTGGGAGGTGAAGCCTGATGGGAGGAGGTAGGCCACTAGGGGCATTCCTGGATTGGTTTATCTCACTCCTTCTCTCTTGATCTCTATTTGCTTCCTGTCTGTAATGCTGTAAACTATTTTTCCTCTGTCATAGCTCTCTGCCATTCTGCTCTGCCTGGGAACCAGCTGAATCTGGACTGAAACATCTACAAACTGTAAGTCAAAATAAACTCTTCCTTTAACCTGCGTGTGTTGGGTATTTTGTCCTACCAATGAGAAAGTACCTAGGATACCCTTATTTCAGACAGAAACCTCCTGAGCCTGACTTTTACTGCACCCATTTCTATCAAGTTCTTCTGAGCTCTGACTAGGGTTGTACAACAAGCACTGGTCACAACATACTAAGGCTTCTCCAGCCTGGATCTCCACCCCTGCCAGTTCTTCCCACAAACCACTTGCAAAACTTTTGGACCACATATTCAAGTTCAGTCATAGCAATGGCCTTACTGGTATCAATTTTCTATATTAGTCACTTTCCTATCAGTGGGACACCATACCAAATATGCACCACTTAAAGAAGAAGCAGTTTATTCTGGCTCACAAGCTCAGTGCATTCAGTGCACGGTAGGCTTGTTCAAAGGCAGAAATGGCCTGGCATGATGGCATGGCAGATGAAAGCTGTTCATGTCCTGACAGCTAAGAAACAAAGAGACAAGGGAGTGCAATGGCTACACCCCAGTAGAGCTGGGATGGGAATTCACTCTCCACATATACCATAGTGACCTTCCTATTCTAAACATCCCCACCTCCAATTGGGAGACAATTGCAGGTCCTTTTAGGTCTAAACCATATGAATATCTCTCTCCAGAAAGAAACTACATGTACCAGCAGGATTGGAGTGATTAGTGTGCACGGCATGGAGACAGTGCGCACTAATCACTCCAGTCCAGCTTTGTGCAATCTCCCCGCACTCCCTTCCCCATCTCTGGCAAACCCTACTGTACATTCAGGTTGCCAGTTTCCCAAACTTCCCCACAGGAGACAGCACATGTGGTATTTCACATTATGTGCCTGGATTTTTCCACTTAACAAATGCTCTCTCATACAAGCAACTAAAATATACTAAAATTTGTAAACATTTAGATTATAGCTGACAAATCCCAGAAATAGAGAAGGCAAACCTACTGAAATGTCTAAATTCCTTCTAGAGTTAAGTATAAAACTTTACCTACCTTTTCACATAAAAGTATTCTGATATATGTAGAGGAGTATAGTACATTCAGTGAGAAAGTAAAGAATAACAATTGAGGAATGGATAAAAACGATGTGATATTTTTATATAATGGAGTATTACTCAGCTATAGAAAAGATAAAGTCGAGGCTTTTATAGGTAAATGGATGCAACTAGATACCATACTCATAAGGGAAATAAATCGGACCCATATGTGTAAACATTATATTGTCTCCCTAGTGTAAGAATCTGAGAGTAAATAAAACCCAAAACCTACAATAGATATTATGAAAGGGAAAGAAATTGCTCAAAGGAAGGAACAACTGAGATGAGAGAAAGGAGAAAAAGAAAGAAAGGAAGAAGGAAGGGTATATATATATATATATA